TTGGTGACGCTGTTGGAGAGTTTGTGGAGAAGACGGGGCGACATGACGCCCGAGAGCCAGGCCAGGTGTTGCCGTCTAATGGAGAACCTGGGACACTTGGATATCGCAGTAGAGTTGCTTGAGTACATGGCATCTGTGTAGGCAAACAAGAGCCGTGGAAAAGCAAACAAAAGGATAATCATGATGAGTGGAATGACGTATCGAACGCGTTGGAGCAATATAAAGATGAGGCGTATATATGTGTGAGTGTGTGAGTGAGAAAAAAATATAGATAGTGGGATTCTTGTGCATCTCTTTTCTTCTTTCTTGTGTTTGCATTTGTTCACCACTGAGTGACACAATGTTCTTAGTGTGTACATACCTCTTTCTGTTTGCTCTACTTTGAATTGCTCTTGTGTGTGGTTCGGAGAGAATAAGTAAAAAGTTAAGAAAAGAAAAAAGGAAAAGGAAAATGTCAAGGCCAGGAGCCAACTCAGACGGTGGTGGTGCGAGGCACGACGCTTTCTCATCGAACAGTGATGACACCGCACCACCACTGAGCAATGAAATGACTGTTGAGCCACGTTTTGTTCATCCTGAGGCGAAAGAGTTCTTCTCAAACAAGGGTTTTCTGCGATACATTCCCTTGTTTGGGGAGGCAGTGGAGGGATATGGTCCTCGACCAGTCATCTCCATTGCTATGTCGTACTTCATGTGCAAGGGTGTATCTCATTATTTAATTCGTTTATCTCTCTTTGCAATGTTAACACGCCGCTACGGGTTGGATGGCACAACTTATCAGCGTCTTGAAACTGTGGTTGCCTTGGGTTGGTCTATTAAGCCCCTTGCAGCTATTGCAAGTGATATGTTTGCATTTTTTGGTTATTCCAAACGATGGTACATGTTTGCTGCTTGTATTATTGGCGCCCCACTTTCTCTTACCTACGGACTTATGCCTGCAGTCGCCTCGAGTGGTCAGATTGTTGCAGCTCTGCTATTTTTTAACTGCTTCACTAAGGCTGTGGTGGACATTTTACTGGAAGGGCACTACAGCCGAATGTTACGCCGTGTCCCTGGCCCTGGTCCAGCACTCGTTAGTTGGATTTGGTGCTTTATCATGGCCGGCTCACTTGTGGCCACGGTGATCGTGGGTCCTTTGGGTGATGCCGGATACCCGCAAGTTGCCGCGTTCATCGCAGCCGGTTTTCAGCTC